TATTCCATACGTATCACAAAGTAACGGTGAAAAAAAATAAAGAAACCCGTATTAAATTAATAAACATTGAGTGATAAGCCAATCAAATTAAGAACATTATACGAAACAAAATTCGAAGTATGCCGTTTCGGTAACAGGTGCATTATCTATCCTAGGAAAGACCCGAGTTAGAGGAATACAAGAATGTATACAGTAAATGATTTGTAATAATAAATTCAAGAAAGTGACCAATTATTATTTGCTAAGACCAAATTCGGAAAATCTAAGTTGCACGAGTTGCCTATCGTTCATATCGAAAATAATAACGATGACTTTAACAATGGATAAATTAAATGCTTGAAAATTTAACCTTCAAGCAACATTTAAGCAACGTTTAAGCAACGTTTAAGCAACGTTTAAGCAACGTTTAAGCAACGTTTAAGCAACGTTTAAGCAAAGTTTAAGTGGAGAGCAGAAGATCAACCGTTAACGGCCAAAAGAGAATAAGTCAAAAACCTGAAGAATGGTAATGCGGAAATTGGAAAAATTCAATCAACATGAATGGAAATGCAATTAAACATATATACTCCTGCATATAATCTAAGTGACTTTTGATTTTAGATTAGCTTAGGAGTATCATTAATTTAACTATAATCAATAATTTTTTTTCAATTTTGCCTTTGGACAAGGTAAAAAAAAATGTTTCAATGTGCATTTCTATCGCCGTCGAAAAAAAGAATCGCACAAGTCTGCAGTTGTACATATTCCGGCCGAAGTGTACTACATACGTACATGCGGACTCTTTATACGTATCGATTTTTTTGGGACATAAATGGATGATGGTATGAAGAACCACAATAACTCATGATTGTCTTCAATTCATTTATTAATTCCTCTATTAATTCCTCACTGTAACATAGCATAGACCGGTAAAATTCAAATATTGCTTTATATGAATTTCAAATTCTATGATTAAATAGAATTTAAGAATTTCTAGAATTTCTATGATATATTTTAGAATTTAATTGGCTAGCATTGCGCGACAAGTTACCACGATATTTTCAGCCCTGATCGTGATGGAAAAAAAAGCATTTCATTTTCACATTTAAATAGTTTTTGTCATTGTTATTTACAAACTAAAATAATCACATGAACTCACACAGCATGCATCACACTGCTATATTGCGAATGCGGTACATAATCTTATCTGTTTAATCATCTCCGGCCAATTATCCTTCCGTATTTGATCTAAAATGATCACTTACTTTTGAAATTTTGATAATTTTGATGTGGAAATTGATTTAGCAAAGATAAGGAATTCCAATTTTGGTAAAGGCTTTCTTTTCGTGCCCAATTAAACATGATTCTTCATAGATCTTATCTTTTTGTATACCTTTAAACAGAAGTTGCATTGTGAAATTTTTTTACTTTAATCTCCATATAAAAAAAAAAAAAAGAAAAAATTTTATTTATAAAAATATATACCATTCATCTTTTAGTTACTTCGTTTCCGGGAGAGTAAGAATTTTTTTTGTTTTCCAACAATAATAGATATATCATCATTATTATATTTGGTAACCGTTAGAATAAATTCTAACCTCAAGTATTAACGATTGAAACGGAAACTCTCAAGGAAAATTCGAACCGTGTTAGAACGGGTATTTATAATATATACAGCCGGCTAACTCCGCCCCTAATCAGTAATAGTAAGTTGAAGCAATATATACGTCATGAACTTGTATAATAAAAGACAAGCTTATGACTTTTTTTTTTTTTTGGTAAATATATAAATCAAAAGTTTACGTAATTTTTGTTTTTTTTTTTCATTCTTTCTTTTCTCCTAGCGTAAGAACATAAGGTGTTCTTACAATAAAATAAATACACGATATCGTCAAGGTTGATATCAGATAGAACTGGTTTCGTTTGAAAACGACGATTAAAACAAAACAAAAAAAATTACAAGGATAAAATTTTTATCCCACGGTTTATACATAAATTTATAATAGACGTGGGTATTTTTATCGAGTAGAAGCCAATTTTTTCTATTTGTATAACAGACCTTTTTTTATTAGTATTATTACTATTACTGTAATGAGTCATTGGCAACAAACTTATACTTCCCAGTTTGTTGACTTTTTTGACCGACCTTGTTATGATTTGGAAATTTTAAATAGTACTTCTCTTAAATTTGCTCGACCGGAAACACCAATTGATTCTTATACTTCCGCTAAAATTTCTATTAGAGAAAAATTAAGAAATTCGCTACCTCCTATTAATACCTCTCAATCTTCTCCACGTGCTAGAAAATTACCTAAAGATCATTTGTCCGATTCTCTCAAATATCAAAATTACAATTCGGGTATTATACGACCTACTGTGATACCCGTAAAAGTTATCGTTGACTCTGATCATGATTTGTCTAATAAAGTTCAAAATATCGGTGACGAATTTGATTCTGGAAAAGATTTTGACAAATCTGATCAGAAAAAATCCTTTCCAAAAGGTTTAAAATCTCGTCGTCGTGCTACCATTCCTTCTCGTGGAATGTCTCTCCCTGTCACAAGTTCTACTTCAATTAATTATGATCAAATCTTTAGTGATCAAAATATTATGGGTATACCGGACCACCAATCTGACGAAATTAGTGCCGATATGTCTTCATTGGGTCTAAGCGTTACTTCTCCATGTGATCCTCCTTCTTTATCTCCTTGCTCTTCGACTTCTTCCATTAGTTCTTCCATTGGTACTCCAAGTCCTGCCCAGTCAATTCAATTTCAAAGGTATTCTTGTGGAAAACAACTAACAAATTCGTCGCAACAATTTAATTTACAATTTCCTTCATTCGGTTCGTCTGTTTCTCAAATGGAGTCCTCCCCCCTTACTATAAGACCAAAATTGAATGTTATTACAGAGAATCCTTTTAATAATGAAACCCGTTCTCTTTCATTACCTGATATGGTCACTGCTTCATCTTACGAGAAAATGCCTCGGTCTCCTGCTGTTAACTTTTTGGCTAATTTGGCCCAGGCTACCACATCTAAAATAATGCCTGATGATGAAGGTCAACAAATTGGCGATTATATCATTGGTAAAGTTATTGGAAGAGGTGGTTTCTCTACTGTAAAGGAAGCCATTAGAATGGATAATTATTCTGGAATGGAAAAAGCTGCTGTTAAAATCGTACTAAAAAATGATTCCGATTGTAATGATAGTGTTCAGGTAATATATATTTTGTACGTCAGAATAAAGTTTTGTGTCAGATTAAATCTAAGTTATGGTGAATAGTTATTAATAGTTATTAATGGAATTATAATTATTTAATTTAACAAAGATTTTAATCTAACAACATAACTTATTAAATATATATTTATATATATTTATTTATTTAACACATATATACTTAGTACACATATCTAATATGTATATTTTAATTAATAGGTCCTTCTTGAAAGAGAAATCTGTATTTGGAGAGCACTAGATCATCCCAATATAGTTCCAATGATCAGTTTCCATGAAGATGATTATGCCACCTATGTCTTTTCCGAATATTGCCCAGGTGGTACTCTTTTGGATTATGTAAAGAAAAATAGTAAGGGTGAAGGTAAAGGATTAGACGAAGATGAAGCCCGTAGAATCTTTTTAGAAATTGCTGAGGGTGTAAGATATTTACATGATGATATGAGGCTGGTACATAAGGATATCAAGTTAGACAATATATTATTAGATAAAGATGATACTTGGAAAATATGTGACTTTGGTTTGACTGAATTCCAAAATGATGCGAATGGTTTCGCTAACCTCTCTCCTTGTGATGAGGAAGCTGGTGGTTCACTTGCTTATTGTGCTCCAGAACAAGTTCGCAGTAAAGTTCCATTAAAGGATCCTTCTGTTGACATATGGAGCTTAGGCGTTGTGCTATATGCCCTTGTGGTAAATCATTTACCCTTCATGGATGATTTCGCACCACGTCTTCAACTCAAAATAATTAATGGACGTTATGAAGAATCAGCTCTTTATAATGCTGGTGTCAGTGATGACTTACGAGATTTGTTGAAATTAATGTTTAAAACAAATCCAAAACAAAGATTAACGATCAATCAAGTCTTGGAGCATCAATGGTGCGAACAATAATATGTTTGATTTATATATGCTTTACCGGGTGTTTTTTTTTTTTTTTTTAAAAACAAAAACTCCTTTTTGGTATTGGAAACTTTGCATATTTTTGTTATTATTCATAATAATAATAATAAAAAAAAAAAAAAAAAAAAACTTTTTACAATGTAATATTATCACATCATTTATAATGTTGTATATCCCTTTTATATTATTATATTTTATATATATATATATACATATGCGTGAACATTTATCTGGCGCGTAGTACTTTAATCGCTTATTCTTTTTCATTGTATAAATTTACACCTTCCCCTTGTCCCCTTTGTATTATTGTTTTTTTTCCTTTCAGTATTCTTATTCATATTTTTGGTGGGATTAGACATAGGATGGATTGCTATTATACACTTCATGTTTTTCCAATACCTTATTATGATAATTACGATTATTCCGATGAGATTGATTTCTCATATGTTTTAGTTTTAGAATTCAAATAAATATATCTCATGCTATAAAAAGTTGTACTTATAGTAGTGCTTGATAAGTTAGTGACTGTAATCGGTCGATTTTTTAAAAATTTGACTCGATTAATCTTTGGCACACATATAACTTTATTGTTCATGTAAAAATTTTTTGCCTTGATATTTTTGTCATAAAATGACATCATTTATGCAAAATGTCAAGACAAAAAATTTCACATGCTAAGATAATACGTACGTACGCACGTATGAACAATAGCATCGATATCAGGAAATTTCAACCACCCTAGCATCACCCAAAAATCAGTTCCGGGTCCGGATATTTAAAATTAAACATCAGTACTCCGATAGACAATGTACCGATAATTTTATATATATACAAAATAGAAGAATGTCGATATTATATTAAATC